CCGAGCTCGGAGAAGGGAGGATGTGAGATAGGCTTGGCCTGCAGCTTCAGCCAGGTCTAAGATGGCAAGGGAGATGCTTTCAATGAAAATGCACTTCTGAGCATTGGTACTATACAAGACGGGACTTGTTGGTTGTTGAACTGAGACCATGCTAAAAGGGGCCATGGGTTTGTCTTAAGAGAAGCTGTTCTGAAGAACTTACGGGACCTTCCAGAAATTTCATTTCTGAACGCAGAGCCTCTGAAGTGCGCTTGCAGGGGTGCCAGTGAGAGGGTGATTGCTCTGTGATCGCCCCCTCCAGCCCCTCTACTTCAGGGCAATGATCCTATGTACTCCTCACCTAACTGCGGTTTGCGGCTGTTGTCCTAATTTATCAGAGATGGTGCAAGGAAGATCCAGGGCCTTAAACAAATTGCTCTGGGTCACAGCACTAGGATTCAGACCTAGGGCGTAGGAGTCCACGTTCTACACCTTCCCCTTGGCACTACGAAGCCCTTTCAGTGTCACTTCCAGAACTTTATAGTTTGTTTTTAGGCTTATAGATGGTTTTAGGCTTATAGATGGCTTCCTCACCATCTATAAATCAAATCATTTTTAACTGAGGACAAGGAAAATTGGGAAGCTGTGTACAGTCACAGAAGGGAGGAGCAGGATAGTTCGTTCAGGCAAGAAGAGCCGTGAGCAAGAGGAGCAGGTGGGGTGGGGATAATGGGTTACCACAGCGACACAGACTTGTCAACAGGGGCAGAGAGGGAGCGAGAGGTGGATAGCAAGGTGGCTTTACCAACAGTCCCCAGAGTCCCCTTGCAGCTGTTGTCAGCTGCAGACTTCTGTAGCTCAGGTGGCCACAAGACCCCTAGAGACCCCTTGGCGCTCCTCAGGTAAGTGGATTTAAATGAACTCTATGTGGGAGAGAAGGAAAAGCTTACAGGTGTAAGAGAGTGCTGTTTTCACAGCAGCCCTTTTCCCCCAAAGCATCTTGTCTGTATGAACTGTGTCAATCCCCCCTAGTAACTAACCCCTGTCTTTTAGAAACTGTATTTTATATAAAAAACTGGAAAAGAGAATAGAGAAAATGCTGAAAGCTAAGCTCGAGTTTGGAGCACAGGCGTTAGCACTGTGTAGGTTCCTGAGGGCCACGATGCCACAAGACACTAATGTACCTGCAAAGACTCATGAAACCACCAGGAGCAGAGCCTTCAAAATGTTCTGGGTTGTGTCTGTCTACCAAGGGAGCTCAATTAGCGTTAGGCAAAAATCTAAATCAACTTAATAGAGTTGTTCCGTTCTGACAGGCTGCTTTATCAAGTATACTGCAATATAAAACTTCCCATAGTCAAATAAAAGATGCAGAGAAATAATTTTAAAATACGCAGTGCAAATGCATCTACCGCTCTACACCCACGTTTTCCCAACCACCTCTGAGGCAGCTGCTATCCCATTAACGGATAGGAAACCGAGGGCAGAGGGCTTCAGAGACCCGACTGCAGTGTACAGCTGGTGAGGGACAGAGCGAGGACTCTGAGCCAGGCTGTGTGGCTCGACTCTGTTCTGAAGCCCTGGGCTCACTGCCTGTGCTGCGGAGCAGCATCTTTGGCTTTATCTCCCTCTCAGTGTCATTTCCCAGTAGCAGTGGCTGGGCTACTTTCAGATCTACCAAGGAAAGAGTGTGCAAGCTTGCAGGGTCTCATGTGCTGTCACTGGGCACCCTCATTTCATCATCTGGAAAGGAAGGCAGTGGTTCTGGATACTGCTGATGGGCTCTGCTAGCTCTACCATTCCAGAAATCCCAGTGTCCTCTGATTATTCTCGGGATGTCTGCTTGGAAGCTGACATAAGCACTAGGCATAATACATGGCGATAAAAAAGCACACACTGAATATAAGAACTGTCAGGCTAGAGATGCTTTAATAAAGATGGAAAATCACATACCACTTTAGACTGTTATTCTCCACTGTATCCTTGAGAAGTGAGAGAAAGCAATTAAAAATATTAGGGTGAGTAGCTGGGTGTGGTGGCGCACACCTGTAATCCCAGCACTCGGGAGGCTGAGGCAGGAGGATGGTTGTGAGTTCAAGGCCAGCCTGGGCTACAAAGTGAGCTCAAGGCCAGCCTGAACTGCTGCACAGCAAGACCCTGACTCAAAAAGACAAAAAAATAAAATAAAATAAAATAAAATAAAATAAAATTAGAATGAAATCAGAACCTATCTGTAAGTTATAATAAATAAAAAAGTAACTATTAAAACCATTTTATTTCATATTCCACTGCAAGCTGTTTCTGGGGTAACTAGAACTGTAAATGCTAATATTGGAAAAAAAATGTTCTGGTAAGGGTCCAGATGGTCATGGCCAAGGATTCCCGATATGCCACTGTTCATCAATTCCTAAGTCATGACTTTGGGAAGAGAAAGTAGCACAGAAACCTGAATGATACAGTGGGTTCTTGCTGTAATCCAAATCTGCTGGTGACATCAATTTTAAATATAACCTATATGAACAGTCTCCGTCATTTATTCTTTCCATAAATTATCTAGTACCTTTTACATACCAGGCACTAAGCTAGGGGCTGGGATCACCCTGGTGAACAAGGTGGTCTCTAATAGTACCGTAATTACAATTGGAAACTGACTGCAGCGAACTGTTATAATTACAGTGAGAGCCACAAAAGAGGAGAATAAAGTAGAAGAGAGCAAGTGTCAGGGAGAGCTGAGCAAGTCTGGCAAGCTTGCGAGTGGTGAAGCGGAGCCCTTAAGGATGAGGATTTAGCTGGATGAGGAAGAGGGCGCTGTTGGGGACCACAAATTTACAATGGCTAATTTTGCATACTTCCCTAAGGGATGCACGGAGGCTTGGGATTATCAGTATCGCCCTTTTGACATTTCCCATGATCTCTTTAGGGATGGGCCATCCCTCCCACCAAGACTCAAAGACACTCCAGGGCAAGATCCTTCTTAGCATAAGATCATCTCTACCCCCTTGAGTCATCTGATAATCTCCTCCTCCAAATTCCCTCCTGGATCAATAAACGCTGAGGTTCTCACTGCCTCGTGGCCTTTTGTTCCTCGTGAACAACCGATCAACCCGGATCCCCGCAGTCCCACCTTGTCTCTTGCTCTGTGTGCTGTAACACCTGGCAGGAGACTGGAGGCTCACCTCAGGGGTTCCCCTAGGAGACGGGTAGCACTGGAGGTGCAGAGCTCTGTGCTTGCTGGGGTGGGAGGAGCAATGTGGACCGGGGAACCTGAAGGCCTTTGTGACCAGGTGCAGAGTAGGCGTAGCAGGAAAGGAGACTGGTAAGGCAGATCTGGCTGCCCATGTAACACAATGGGATTCTGTAAGCCCAGTGGAATTCATGAAGTAAAAGGGCATCAGGCCTTCCTCTAGAAGCCCCAGCTCCTAACACACTGGCTAATTACGTGGGTTCCTTTTTAGGAAGCACTTTCCTGCCTTTCATAGGCCTGGATATACAGTTTTTATCGTTTCATCTCCAAATGTCCCCATGACACCAACTATCTAATTATAGGAAGAAAACCAGCCTCGCCAGTCAGCTCAATCAGGCAGGCAGGGGGTGAAAATGACACATCTTCACTGTCACCCACAGAACAATCATCTGACCCTCAACTTGACTATTAAGCAATCATAAAGTATCAGAGCCGCCTGCTGCCTCTGCCAGGCTCCCGGCCCAATCTTCCAAAGGTAAAACCAGAAGAGCAGGTGTGTGTACGTGCAGCATTCGCTAAAAGCCTACACACCCCACCTTGAAACCTCAGGCCCCTCTCTGCCTTTGTCCCATATATGGTTTGTCCCTACCTGGACAATACTTCAATGAACACTCCTAATTGCACTGGGTAGACAACCTGCAATTCACACAGCTGTGTTTCTCAGTACTGTCAGGTGCTTTCCATAAGGAAACTTCTTCCCTAGCCCAAGGAGGAGGAGGCACGTTTTCATTTTAGGGCTGAGGACACGGAGCACTAAAGGCCGAGCGCCATGTCAGATGTTGGTGGGGGAAGGGCTGGCAGGGCTAGGGACACAATGACAACCTTTAGAGCCTCACTCATCCTCAAAGCTCCTTGTAAACCTAACCAGTCACTGCTGGCTCTAATTGTCCTAGGCTTTTAATGCCAGTCTTAGCTGAGGCTTTCTTGTTTTCCTCCCACAATATTCCTTTATAGAACTTTTAGTAACTGGCGGCCACTACGCTAGTAGTGCTTTTACATCTAATTCCAACTTGGCACCCCTTGAAGCTGGAGTCTGCTCCTGGGAGAGCCTTTTAATAAATGAAGAGAAGACAGTATTACAGGAGTTCACTCTTTACTTCCCACCTCCATCTGTACCACTCCCTCCAAGTACCCCGTGAAGACTGAACATACTCAAAAGTAGCAGACACAACCTGTTCTCAGTATTTTGATTTCTCATCAAACTTAGTCTATCACTTCAGACAGATTAACTCGCCCAGAGTAATCCACTAGATGACACCCCCAAAGCCTACATACTACCTCTGTGGAGTCAAAGGGGTTTAGCTAGCCCGACTGGAACGGGCACTTGAAGAGTTTTGCTCTACATAGAGACGGGAGGGCAGTGTGGAGAAGTCAGGCTGTCCCAGATACTGTCATTTATGAGCTGTGTGATTAAGAAGGTTCTTTTCTAAGCCTCAGTTTATGCACCTGAATGAAAAAAGGAGCAACAGGTGGTTAAGAGAAATGGGATGATATGCAAAATGAGACCACCGGGGACCCTTGAAAAATGGCGCGGAGGTTCTATTCCCCTTTGTGATAGTGAACTGCAGCACTCGTCTTACACTCCAAACAGGGAGGGCCCTGGGGCAAATGCCATGTTCCTGTTTCCTAGAGTCACAGACAAGCAATATCTATGTCCGGAAGATCATTTACATAAGGGCACCAGAGAGCATTTTGTGCATGTGAATGCACATTTTTTTTTTTTTTTTGTAAAGACCAAGAGTCTTGCAACGAGACAAAGGAAAAACAAGTACCAGAATTGCAAAGTTAACATTTTTATTGAACTGAAATCAGTGTAGAACAGGGGCCACCATAGCTGCTGAGCTCAGTCACAACCAAAAAGCCCCTGTGACATTTTACCTTTGAGAGGCCTAAGATTGGGGTGGAACAACTGAGAAACAGCATAGAGATATATATGTATATATATGTGTGTGTATATATATATATACATATAAACACTACAAAATAGTTTGAAGTGAGTCTCACACTCTCGTTCAGTTCTCAGGTTACAAAGAACATTGACAACATCTTTTGCTGCCTTTGTTTAGTAGTGTCAGTTAATATCCTCCCCCAAAACGTTCCTCTCAAAGTGCTGGCTCTGATTTTCCCCCATTCCAAGACACATGAGAAAAGGGTTTAGTAACACTCTGGCAAGTAATAGACTGTAAGAGTTTCCGAAGGCGTGAAGCACACATCAGGCACAGAGATCTGACACGCACCCTGTCGCAGCCTGGGCAGAGATTTAGCCGAGTTCTGGGAGCAGAGGACACTTAAGATGGGCAAGCCACTCACGCAGTGCACGGATGGGTGGGCCGTCTGGGCCTCAACCTCACTCGAACAGCTTGCATTTGTTTTACATAACACGGTAAAACACTTTTAGGGAAAAGAAAGCTCCTATAAAGGTTGTAAGATGAATCAGAGAGGAAAGAAGATTAATACTGAATTTTTATAATCAATGCATTGAGCAGTGATAAAAACTGACCACACCAATAACCTCTGTGAGAATTGCTGAACATCTCTTACTACCTGAAGATTTGAAAGTTAGCCCTTCCAAAGCATTTCAAGGGAAATAACCAACAAGATAGGAGGTGAAATCCCTACATAAAAAACCCAAACATATTTAATGTTTTTTTTAAAATTTGGTTTAAATTAGCTGCTCATTCAATATGGAGCAGATTTGTGGGTGTTGGTAAAAACCTTCATGATTTCAATTTATTTTCAATGAAATATCATTTTAAAAAACCAGCACAACTGATTTTTTTAATATTGGCAATGCTGTTTTACACTTAGTATTCCTCAAAACAAAAACAAAAAACTACATTCTTCCACCAGAGTAACTGATACTAAGTGGTACCTCATTCCTACAGCAATCACTTGCAAGAATCTAAAAACTGTATAGTATGGGATGAAAAAGGATTATAAATATTTTAATTGGCTCACGCCTGTCTTCAAAAGGGATGCAACCTCAGGTAACAGCACATTCCGAGATTTGCAGCTCCCAGATTTGCAACTGATAGGCAGATACACATTTTGCAAGGATCTGTCCAATGTATACAACAAACATCTAAATTAAGGCTTTTACTGGTATGTAGTCAAGTCCATGGGTGTGCAATGCTGGATTTCCATAAAGCATCTCCAGCGTCCATTGTTACCCAATTTGTAAACCAGAATATGTGCTGATGTAGGTGGCTAGGAGCTCCAAGGTACAACGATTAACCAACTGGAAGGCCTGTTTGTAAACAGGTTCTGAAATAAGAGTTGGCAGTGAAACGACTGAGGGGGTGCTTCAGAGCACGCGGAGGGTAGAAGTGATTTGCACCTGCTAACAGAGATGAGCTAAGAAAAACATAAAAGCCAGTAGTTCAAAATTTCCAGGTAAACAGAGACTTACAAGTTTAGAGCCACATCCAAGCATATGGTTCTAACACTTCAGCTTACAAAAGTCACTGACGGAAAATTTGTGAAAATGCAGGTACCTGGGACCTACCCAGAGATTCTACTTTGGGTAATGCAAGTGGTCCAAGAACCTCGCTTTTGAAAAACATTGATCATAGCATGTAGCAGAACACAATCTCTAGTGAAAAGGCCAAGATGTCTGAGAAGTGACACCAATGAAGTCATTACATGTAGAAAAAGCCCTCAGGACACTCTACCATCCTAAAATGAGAACCAAATTTATCCCCCACTAAGCTTCCTTTTCTTTCTTTTTGCAACTAAAAGTTTGAAATAAATTAATATTTAATAATGATTGTACCAATTCCGAGGTAAAAGGAAGAGCACCAGGGATCTCAACGCTAAAAGAAACAGAATTCCCAAGGATGTCCATGTTACAGAGAAATCAAACTTCTGTAGTCATGTTTTAGAACTGTAGTGCAAAGGGGTCTTTGTAAAGTCTGTATACTCTTGTATACTACTTTGAATATATTGTCTTATCTTTGTAGTCACTGTTTTAGAAAAAACTCCCAAGTGAAAACTTTGTCTACATATTCTCTTATATTTCTTAGATATCAATATTTTCCAGTTTACAGTGATACACGACAAAGTTGTTTGTTTATTTTCTTGGATGCTGGAGACAGACATCTTTATTAAAGATACTACCAAAAATTTGGCAAACATTTCAAAACAGATTTGTAAACATAATGCTTCCCTTTTCAACTGGCAGCACTTTGAAAGACAATACGATAAGACAACACAACTTGAATCAACATTAGTTCAAAATCCTGTAGTTTTGACCATATAACTTATGTTCCCACATGATAAAACAAGTGATAGTTTAAATCAGCGTCAACAGATAAACTCCATGAAATGAAAGTTTGTGCTATTTGATGAATCACAGTATGTTATGGTTAAATATATCCGCTTTTTAATATTCCTGGCACCCAGGATGAAAAAAATCTTTAAATATACATCTCATGTAGGTAATAGCTTCTTTGCATATCTCTCTTCAAAAAATACTTTATAGCAGTATATAAATATGTTACCTACACATTTAATTTTATAATTTTGCCCCAAAACTATAGATCTGTTTCATTTTTATAACATATCAATTTTTGTCCAACATTAACAAAGCTGACAAACTGTTGAAATGGAAATGCTTTTGTCTTCCAGAGAAGTAGCAATTTGACAGGAAAAAAAAAACCCTACAGTAACACTCATCAGTTGTTTAACCTGAGCGTTTGGCCTACTGAGAGCAGCAGCTTTTCCCGTCATCACACTCACATCCACTTCACCTCTGCACACACACAGGTCGAGCACACGCGTCCAGACGCTGGTAGGCCACAGTGTGCTTCCCGTTGCTCTAATCATGGGAAGCAGTGTAGCTAATGATTAACCACACTATGTACATGACTAGCAAACACCTTAAGGCAACCATTGCAATGGGGGGTTAACTTGCAGGGTAGATTTAAGAGTCTAGATCAAGTCAGCCTGTATATACATATGTGTATAAAAGCCTATACACATACACACAGTCCTACAACTTTCTATATTTAACCCTCTTTCTATTTTTAACCCTCCAAAACAATGTTTTAATTTTTTTTGTATCTTGTGCAAATTTCTAAATAGTCTACCATTTAAGGCAAAGAGTTTTGCATTAAGAAAGGTCAGAAAATAGGCTTATGTTTATCCAAAAGCATTTCACCTTACACATTACTGTTTTTTTTTTTTTTTAACACACACAACTTTTAAGTGTGGACATTGGATCCCCAATATCTAAAAAATCATTTCTAAGGACAAACACAAGTTTTTAAGGAAAAAAATGATTTGAAGAATATAAACACTGGATCCCCAATATCTAAAAAAATTATTTCTATGAACAAACACAAGTCTCGAGAGAAAATAAAGGACCAGCAAAAGCAGCTTCAAAATGCAGGGAAGCAAAGTAAAATGGAAAAAAAAAAAAAAAAAAAAAAAAGTAACTCAAGTTTACTAATACTGAAACTTTCAACAGGCAAAGTTTCATCTTTTTAGAATCTAGAGCAACTCATTTGGAATTTTAAATAAATAAGCTTAAGTTTATTCACATCTTCTGGTCCAAGCAGAGCTTTAGTGCCACGACTCTGCTTGCTGTTGGTCAAATTCACCTATTAGTCTTTTGATGTGAGCCAGCTTGTTATGAAGATACTCGCATCTGTATTTTTCTTCATGGTAATTGGGACTCGACTGCAGATAAAAATAAAAAAGAGCGAGGAATTAGCTTGTAGAAGTTACCATTCTCAACTACAGGCTATAAAGTCAACAGTGATGACCCTTACCTGCTTGATCTTCTGATATTCTTGTAAGACTTCTTCATGAACATTCTACAAAATGAAAAATCAGAGATCAGAATTAAAGAACACTTTTGGGGGGCAACAGAGCAGGTAACACGTAGTCAGCGAGGGTGGAGCAAATGTTGGTGGTGAGAATGTAACTTGGCACAATCTTCATGGAAGGCAATTTGGCAACAGCTGTCAAAATGGCAAACGCAAAATTTACTTTCCCCTGAGTGATATGATGCACATCCAAGGTTATTCACGGCAGCACAACTTGTAAAGCAAAAGCCAGCAAACAATGTCAAGATGTTCATAAATCTATACAAAGGACACTAGGAGATTGTAAAAAATGGGGAAGTGTTTTCTGTGCTGATATAAAAAATTTCTCTAAGATGCATTATATTGGTTGGTGAAAAGAGTAAGTACAAAGTAACATCAACAGCTTAGAATACTATTATAATGTGAAAATTGCCTTACTTTTAAGATGTGCCTACCTTTCCATTTTAATGAAACTAGGACAAAAAAATAATGTACTGGGCATGGTGGTGCATGCCTGTAACCTCAGTACTCAGGAGGCTGAGACAGGAGGATCGGTGTGAGTTCAAGACCAGCCTGGGCTACAAAGTGAGCTCAAAGCCAGCCTGAACTACCAAGTGAGACTCTGTCCCAAAAAGACAAAAAAAAATGTATCTTGGTTTGTGTTGCTGGGATATAACACAATGATGCATCTTACAATAGAGGAAGTCTCAGATTCAATTAAATATAGTACATATGTAAATTTACTTTCATATATACATATACAATTTTATACACACACTTTAATACACTTTCAAAAGACTACACTGGAAACCAGTAGTAATGAATGACTCCGGTGGTGGTGGGTAGGGAGCTCAGGCAAGAGAGCTAGCTAGCCCTTATGTATCATGTATCCAGCATGGATCTAAGCAGTTTATAAATGCTTGCTTACATTTATTACACATAACAACTCTATGATTATCCATGATTTGTCTCTTTGAGGCAAAGAGGCATTAAATAACTTGCCCAAGGTCATGTAAGTATTAAATAATAGCTTGGAATCCAACCCTCAAAACATGTCTCCAGAGCTTGCTCCTAACCACTAAGCAATCCTGGGAATTATGTTTTAGTTTAAGTATGATCATGCATACTGATAACTAACTGTGTAGGAAAAATAAAGCCCAAACCACCATTTCACCAACCTCTTATACCTGCAGATACCTATTCCTGTGGAAAAGTCTGAAACTCTTTATCAGTTTTTGGTCAAGAACCATCAGTATAAGAGGTCCTAAGGAATCTCTAGGATACAAATGGCCTTGAACTATTTTTTTCTGTGGTGGAAAAATTCATCCATTTCTCACACAGGTAAAAAAATGGTACAGTGGGCTGGGACAGAGGCCCTGTACCACTGATGATGTGAAGCATAACAGAGTTATCTGCCTTATCCAGAGAAGGAAATAGTAATTTCTCTTAGGCACTTTGCTAAAAAAATTGAAGACAGGTCAAACCTCTACTACTCTTTGACAGCTATAACACTGCCACGAAAGGTGGAGCGGTAAAGAGGGATTAATATTGGTTACAAAGCATTAGTCTCTGGAAGCATCAAAATTTTTACATCGCAACCCAAAACTCTGTAGTCTCATGCTCCCATTATAGCCTGCATCTGTATTGTCCTTATCCTAGGTCAGGTTGTGGTTTTCAAAAATAATAATTTAAAGCATTTACTTGAAACAGCACAGCTTGGGGCAAAGTGCCAGATCTAGGATCTGTAGTCTGAGTTGAGTTGGCAGCATAACCAGCTACTTGAAGGAATCCCAGGATCCAACTTTTTTCCTATTTAACTGTGTCTGTCATGCTTCCCAGCACACTATGTATTATATTACCGTCACACAAAGTTTTTTCCAGTGTGTTTATTTTCAAGAACTATTTCAAATGTTGACTTTCCTAAACAGCGGAGAGGCTAGTGTGTGAGAAGACGGGTGCTTGGAATGGCTGGGGCTGCAATGGGCAGAGAGAGAGAGAAGAAGAAGGTAATACACGAGAATGCATCTATCTGCGTACAAAAGTGTTTACCTGATACTCTTTTGAGCCGGGAGAAAGGCGTTTGCGTTGCGCATCCAGTTTGATAAATCTCCGAGCTACTGTCTCCATTCTGGCATGCAAAGCCCTGTACTCATCGTACTCGGCATTGAAGTCATCCTTGTAATTCTGGCGTTGCTCATAGGAGACAATAGCGATATATTTTCTACGGAGAAAGGTAAACACAGATAAACTACGGAACAAACTTGATCGCCTGAGTGTGAGACTTAAACCAGCTACACAGAAACTATACCCTGTGTTAGCCCTAGTATTTAATGCTATTCTCCCACTGGTCTGTTGCCAGGTCACTCCTTCAGAAGACCTTTTAGGTGAAGTGGTCACACAGAAGGCTTAGGAGATTCAAGGAAGAAGAGTAAATGTGAAAAAGACATGTTAGCACCGGAATTAAGGGCAACTACATAAAATGAAAATAGTATTTACACGGGTTTGGCTTCTGGAACTTTTCTCTCTACAAAACAATTGACTGCCACACTAGTGGTAGAGGCCAGTCCATCTGTCACCAGTCACAGGGAGACAGGAGAGAAGGGTAATGGGACACCAGGAGAACGTCACACGGTCACCTAGTGCTGAAGTCAGAGCTTTCCCTGGGCCCACTCCTGTACGACAGGGAGTCTCTCTCTCGGCCTTTCAGATCTGTAGCAAGCAGAAGTCCTCAACAAGGTTCCTCTGCCCTGTTCACCCCAATCCCTTTCCTTACATTTCTGATGAGGCAAATAGGTAAGATACAAGAGGGATGGTGTATAATTTTTTTACAGTGAGAAGTAGCAAACGCACACTTCTTTAGTTCTTTTCTCACGCTTATAGGTCACACTACATGCAGCAGAAAGCCAGTGTTCTATCAGTAGTCTCATATACTTAATAAAATGTGCCAATCTGTTTTCTCTTCGGGAGTGTGAATACTCCTAGGTAAGCGAAGGGCAGTTTCCCAGTATGTCAGCTGACTCAGCGGCAAGTACATTAACCGTAAACAATAGCATCTATTCGTGGATACGGGAACTGGGGTGTCAAGGCTGGGTCTCTGCACTCTACACTCCTGCCATGGAAGGCAACATTCCCTTGACTACTGAGGATTGAAAACTGAGACTTCAAGCAGGTGCTGGGAGCACCAGGCTGCACCCCGGGAGACACACTCACTCTTCACTGCTAATATCTTGGGGTTCAGCCCTTTCCAGGCGGCTTTATGCAATCTTCCCAGTTTTATCTAAGTTGCTCTGTCACAGATGCCTAGTTGGAAATGTGAGAAAAGTAATGCAGCGAGCAAACTCAGTGTCCTCATTAATATTTTTATTCATGCTGAGACAGACAGAGTGGAAGTTTAATTTTCTAAGTGTAATCGAGACAGCGGTAGCGTGCTGATTTAGAGCTGCCCTGCTGGTGGCTCAGCTGTGAAGGGAACACTGCCAGCCAGCAGGGAGGCTGTCCTTCCCAGACACCAGAGGGAGCCCAGGGAGAGAAAGAGTATGGGGATAAGTATGTATATGTATATATGTATGTGTGTGTGTGTGTGTGTGTGTATATATATTAAAGCAAGTGGCTAAACCAATCTCACAACTCAGAGTTTGTTTGTTGTATAATACATTTATCCTACTTTTTCCAAAATCATACCCTTAGTATTTTATTTAATAATTTTCCTGGGGGGAAAAAAAACCAAACTGGTCAACAATTGTGTTGCTGTTTGCTCCTACTGGCATTTGAACAAAAAGCACTTCATTATTTTTAATGAGAACTATAATGGCTTTATAGCTGGTTCTTAATGCAGTGATATTATAAAAACAATTTGGATAACTCACAACCACAAGTAACAGAAGTATTCTTATATAAAAATTAATGGTATTATGGTTAAGTATGAATTATCCAAAGGCTAATCATTTAGGCTTTCTAGTCTGTCCTTTTGGATTTCTGGTGAGGCACTTTAAATTCTGTTAGTTTTGGAATTTTCTCATCACCTTTATTTATGTAAGCCTTAGTCTTCAGTTAAAATAAATTGCTTTTATCTAAGCACACAGTCCAGCACCAGAAACACGAGGAACATACAGAAATACACAGAGGCAGATGCAGCAGCCACCCTTAGACCAGTAACCTGAAAAAACCCTTTAAAGATAGAATTAACTAATTAGGTTGGCAAAACATAGCAACAGCCTCAACTCCATAGGGAAAAGTTCGGATTCTTTTTCAGTCTCCCCACACAATTTTGTCATATATTACAAAGACGTATCACTATTAATAAAAGAGGCACTCAAATATCCGTCACGGGAGAGTGCGAATGAGAGTGGTTGCTAGGAGAGGGGCCTGCACACAGGAGACTTCTGAGGGGAAGTGGCTTTATGGCTGGAGAGGTGGACCCCCGCAGAAGTAGAGCCACGGGCTGTCCTGGGAGCCTGGCTGCAGAGAGTGACCCCTCTGGGCCCCTCAGAGGTAGCTACGTACCAGTCAGGTTTTCTAAAACCATGCACTGTCTCAGATGACAGAGCCGTCTGTGGGTTGTTTGTCAAGAGACCATGGCCAGCGTTATGGATTCATGCTATCTCGTTCCTCAGTAAGTGCAGTTTTCACTCCACTGTTAAGCTGAAGCCACATATTTTCAATCTAAAATGTTCTCTCCTCTGGAAACAAGCAGGGCCGAACAGCTTAGCTTAACTTTATTACAAATTAAAAAATGGTGGAGATGCCACTAATGGGAAACAAAAGTTCACACTGCCCAGATTCTGGTTTCCAGTCTACGGTCTATTTTGCACATTTGTTCACTTTTAAAGGTATCTCTTGTCAGATCTATTTGTTCCTTCACTCTGTTTTTCATAGCCCTTGCAACTTAATTATTTTGTTCTAGTAGAAGCCTTTTATTCTATAAAAAAAGAACTAGAATTGTGCCCAACTTATAATTTTCTGTGATAACCAGTTACAAAAGTGTCCCTAGCTCAGCATTTATCAACTTATTGCCATAACAAGAAAAACATAGCTGGCACTGAAGTGAAATGACTGAATTTTACTCTTGTCTCCTCTTAAAATTAATTTGAGGGCAAAATGTAGTTAAGTGAAAATCAACCTAACTCTCCTTTGTATCACTAAGTGCAGAAGTTCAAGCACCTTGTCAGTGACAAACTGTCCCTTTGGGGGCCCAAGTGAATGGCTATGCATTGATAGACTTGTCAGCTTTGAAGAGTCAGATCCCTGAAATCTTCCATAATCAAAAGCTTGGCCTGGCCCTGGAACAAAGGGCAGGCTTCTCTATACTTAAAGGCCAACGAACACAGCTCCGAGCAGGGGAGGAACGACCTGCTCATGCAGACAAGGGTGCATTTGGGACTCGGGCTTAATGGCAGCCTTTCAATTGCAGGGGCGGCTCCAGGACTCTATTTCTGGAATTTCTGGCTTTTTTGATTTGCAAATTATGGGAAAAGAATTTGCAAACTTTCTAAAATTAAACAGTTTTCTCTACTGGCAGGCGGATGGACTTACATCAAATAATCTGGGAGTTCGATTGTTGAAGAAGGCTCCATGGCGGCAGTGTAACCCTCTTTAACTCCTACGAAAGGAAAAGAAAATTTCAGAGCGTTCCCCAACCAGTATGGTTATCAAATGCCTGTGATTCTGAAATAGATTAGAAACATCTGGAACACTTTTCCTCCAATTCTATTCTTCCATCTCAATAAGCAACAGTGAGCAAGGAATACAATTGAACACAAACAATAGAGGCCCTATGACCAACGCCAGCAGAACTGACGCAGGCATTTAAAGCACCCTGGCTACTGCAGTGTCTGCACAATAAAGGAATTCCATCTTAACCCAAGGTCAATCTTCTATTCTTTCCACAACAGCTGTGGCATCTGCCCAGCAATTCAAAGATTGTGGTGGCAGATGCAGCCACACAATGGTAGATACAAATTTTACATCAACATCTACTTTTCATGGGATTCAAACACAGCAGATGAGACAATAACGTCAGGTAGCAGACTGCTTTGGTCACTGTATTTTTATTGCCACCCTTTTTTGTATGCAGACAGTGGAACTGGGTAGGAAGCGTTCCCATCGGTTTAAAATAAGGTATTACTGAATGTTGATTTATTCTCCTCTGACCTCTGGTCCTTATAATACTAAACAGATTTTTTTAAAGGACCCCCCCCAACAAAGAAAAACTCACAGAAAAAGAAAAAACCTCCCTAATTCCTTGAGTCATGACTATGCTGTCGAGCTGTGTAAATTTTCAATATTGCACTTATAACTCACCATTTCCAAGGGCTATGTTTATGTTTGGAGTAATATGTATTAGGGTAACTTTTTTTATCATTTAAAGTATAGCTAAGCTAACAACTCCAGCCCTAACTTGCCTGCTAGCAAAATATTTATACCTGCTATAAAATAAACATGAATATCTGTCCGTTCCTTAGTGTAGTATTTTAAATGGCAAAGGACACTAAGTAAGTTACACAGACCTAGTGGGATTATTGTGCACCTGTATCCATGTGATGCAGGCTTGGGTACAAGGAAAGGACAATTCCTCCTTTGCCACAGATGCCAGGGAACAGATACAGAGGACCTGGTTCTGAAAGCTATTCTGCATATCCTCAAGGAAGGATGAAACAGACTAGGTCTGCCTCTCCCTGTCTCCAACTCTGAGGACAAAGTTCTGCTGTAGGTCTCCGCGTACTGCAGCCCAGTCCTCCCGGTGGGAGGCAGTGACTTGGGACCACTGTCTGGGGTAGGAAGCATGCAGAGCGGCGGAGGCCCAGGAGCCTGGGTGATTAATGCTGAACACAGAGTTTTACTTCTTCATGGCTTTTCCTGACTTGACAAATTCAAGTACCAGAGGGTTAGGAGGGGAAAGAGCTTATGCCTATCTCTCAGGCCATTATATAGTATCACACTGGTCTAAATATTTCAACAGATATGCTTTGACATGCAACACAGCAATCCAGGGCAACAAAGGCACTGTATCATAGTATTTATTCTACAACTCCCCTGTAAGCACCACTAAAAACAATTGGAGTTCCTCTCATACAATAAAAATGGTCATTAAACGTACAAGCACAGGCTTGCAGTGTCATGGGCAAAATACAGAGTCAACACTCCTTAAAACTGTCATTAAACTCCATCAAACTCTGCTCATTAAAGTAACCTTCTGAAAGTTTCCTGGGGGATTCTGCCTTAGTTGTTCTGAGTTTAAAACCGGCTGCAGTGCTCAAGATGGACTTAGCTCTATGTCCTGGTGCTTAGACATTTGATTTTAGAGGGGTTTGTTGTTGCTGCTGTTGTTAAATAAGGCAAATCTGAGTTTGCCATTAGATCTAGTATGCCTCAAGTAAGCAGTCTTTCTGCTGATTAGCTCTTGTGTAGAGGTAAAGCATTAGTTTCTAAGCTTGAGTCTCTACATATTCGGCTTCTAAGCTTCTTCTTAAAGCCTGAAGTGTAAATTTTAATCACAGTTGATGTTAGTTTACTAAAAATTGAGAAATCAAAACCAAAAAACCATAAGCTCTGTCAAGTTAATAACAGCCCATAGCTCTGCAAAAGACAAAGTGTTTTTGCTGCAAATGAAGATGATGTTATGTCTCTGCCAATGTAATTTCACCTTGCCTATTTTATAATGACGCTAATACTAATTAAAGCAGGGGTGACTCTGTTTCTTTGAGTAAGAAGCAAATATTTCTACTGTTAATCCTGTCTGGTGAAATGGTGTCAAGAATGGGCATATAACACTCACACTCAGGTTTGACAATATCTTAACAAATAGGGAAAAGAATTCCACATCTACCAGGGAGGCTCTGCAGGGTGACTGGCTCATTTTCCAATGTCATTATCTTATTGACAAAAACAGAAACCTTTCATTGGCTAAAAAGAGACAAAACACAGCAGTAAAACAAAGGAAATATCTGCTCAAAAGCACAATATTAACAGTTAAGCAGAGCTGGGCATGGTGGCACATGCCTATAATCCCAGCACTTGGGAGGCTGAGGCAGGAGGATTGTTGCGAGTTCGAGACCAGCCTGGGCTACAAAGTGAGCTCAAGTCCAGCCTGAACTGCACAGCAAGAGTCTGTCTCGAAGAAACAAAAAAACAAAAAAAAATTGTTAAGCAGAAAGTCATTTGCTTAAAAAACATTACTAATTCTAAGCATTATGATCTCAAACTGACAATGCTTCCAGGTCCTTTAACACAAAAGGTTAGTTTTTTTTTTTTTTTTTTAACAGTACCTTCATTGGAATTTGGACTGGAGTTATTCAGCTTGGCAATTTCTTCTTCTCCTTGAATGTCTTCTTCCTTTTCCTCAGTGGCCTCAATGTCATGCTTTTTTATTTGGTCCTTTTCCTTGTGTTTTTTAGACTTCTTTTTGGACTTTTTGTGAGACATTGAATGGTTTTCTTCCGTAGGCTTTGGACACTTGAGTAGAACTGAACCAGGGGATAAGGTTTCCAGAGAAGTCCTAGAGGTATATTTGTCTTGCTGGTCCTCATAGATGCTACCGTTTTGACTAAAACTGTCAACAGGCAGGTCTTGAGTCCCCCGGCCTTCTGGAGTGCTAGGGGAGTTGGAGTTAGAGTGCACAGTCTGTGGCGGGTTTGAGATGGGCAGGTGGGTGGAAGGCAGCGGTGGCGGAGGGCTGGGGATGGCGGCGGCCGCGGGGAGTGGGGGGAGGCCGGCGGTGGACTTTTCACTGGTGGGATTCACATGACCGTTTAATGTTGGTGGTACTCTACTTGTCAGGTGAGATATTCGAGCTTTTTTATTCATTAAAGGATCAATAAAATCTGAATCCAAAGGCCGTTTCTGAGGGGGGGAGAGGAAAGAAAAGCCAGTTCATACCAAAATTGAGTAAGTTCAGTAAATGTGCGACAGAACAACTGAGCAACCTTACTCATACCAACCTTTCTCCAAGCTTATGCAAAGACAAAACAAAACCCTACAGTGACCCCAAACCAAAGCAACACAACCAAACCAAACCACAAGTAGAGCAAATTATCACGTCTAATGTTAAGAGCAAAACCTGGCAAGTATACATCTCTCGGAGGGCTTATTTAATTTCTCCTGGTCATTCAGTTGCATCCTAAACTTGTAAGCATTTATGCAGTTTATGAGGATTACACGACTCAGGAGAGTATTAGACACAGCCGGCCTTTGTTGGCCTAATTCTACTAAAGGGGGAGAGAAAGCAACTGGTTCCATTTGATGCTGCGAGAACAAACAAGGCTGGGCAAAAGGCAGCGCGCCTACATGCATGTGATGGCTAACGTGCTGAGACACTCCAATTAGGAGTACTTTCGCTGTTGTTTTTCATTTTACCTGTCGTGAATGTAGAGTCAAACTTTTCAGAGCAATTTTTCTAAGCATCCCTATCATTGCTGAAATGTGATTGCAATTTAAAAAAAATTCTTAGATATCTCTTCACCATATTGTAAGGTAAGTATTTATATCTGGTCCACTAAAGTAACGTGGAAGTACTTTTTAAAAGAGAATCATGATAATAACAGCTCAGATCAATAATAACAATACTGTTTAAGTTGAAAGGGGATTCAATCGCCAAAAGTATAAAACGTAAGTTCATATTTATGTGTAAATGTACTACTGTGGCTTGTATTTGATCTTGAAAGAAAATAATGGTTGATCAACCCATTAGTTTATTCTGTTTTTAATTTAGCACCATTTATTTGCCACCTGCTGTGTACTCTGATCAGAGGAGAAGTAGCTTGGCATTAAAGGTAAGGCTTCCACAGACAACTGACCTGCAAGGCTAGAACACCACCCCTCAAAATGGGTTTCTAATGCATTCTGGTATGTGAATAGCCCTTCGCCCTGGGCGTGCTTACTGTTCTCCACACATCTGTCTGCTTCTCCCTATTTCTTAGGCAAGGGTGAGGGACAGAGAGCATAGCGGGAGACAAGGTCTTTCCCACTGTCTGTCCAAAGCGCTCAGGACATGGAAACACTATTACTGTCTCAGGCAGGGCTGCAGCGCTGGCTGATCAGCTGAGAACCAGTACGTTTAAACTCCAGCGCTGAGTGGGAATGCCCCAGCCTTTCCTAGGATGGGCTGCTCTCGCAGGGGAAACTAAACTGGAATGGTCTGGTTAGGGATATTCTGGTTCAGATCCCACTGGAAAGAGCTCTTGTTGTTGTTTATTTGCTGACTGCAAGTACATTTTCCCCTGAGAATATTTTACTAGGACATGCTTTAGATAAAATTCTCAGATATAATCTGAGAATTGGACGAAACTGGACAAATCACCTAGTTAATGACCAACTGAGCAGTACGTAATGTAATCTTATTAACAAAATCTTTGAAAATGGAAAGCAAGCTGGGCGTGGTACCACACTGTCTGTAGTCCCAGCATTCAGGAGACCAAGTCAAGAGGACTGCAAGTTTGGGGTGTGCCTCAGCCACAGTGAATTTGAGACTAGCTTGGACTACACAGTGAGATCCTGTCTCAAGGAAAAAAAAAGAGCAAGGTATACATTAAGTACTCTGACAAACAGTATGGCTTTATAACTTTATTATATACCTGAGGAGAGGAGGCAGCATCTCTACCAGAACACACGGGAGATTCTGAACGGCTGGTGCCAGTAGAATTCTGAGCTGGATTTAGTTTTCTGTAAAGGACACACATGTTCCAGATAATTAAAGAGAACTTTAAAATGTTCATGATAGAACACTCACCCTTCTCTCTTTCACACGTCCACACTAAAATAGCAGTGACTAAAACAATTACTTATTTGCATCATTTTTAAAGAAAAAATGGAACAAAAGAACATACCTAGCGAGCACCGACTCCAATGACCGCCTATCTGTTTCACTGTATCCTGGCCAGTCTCGCTGAAGCTCCTTGAACACATAATCCTTCAAAGTATAGGACAGGTCCTTAGGATTCAGATTGGCTACCTGGTACGTGGTATAAATATAGAATGTTAGATAATTTTTGCTATTTAAAACAGGTGGTTTTTAGGTTTTATGCTGAAAATTATACAAGTTGGCCTTAAAGAGACTGCTAGTTTTATACATGCCAGATCTTAAGGAATGCCATTCAACTTCATTTTGGGAAGTTAAAAAATATAAAAAGTATTTTTCCCTGGAAGATCATTTCATTTGCAGAGTTTCCAATCAAATAATAAACCCACAGTAAGAAAAAAAAAATGGAGGGATTTTAAAAAATCAATTTTCCTAATCAAAGGGATCCAAAAGAGTTATATTAGCAAGATCATTATTTGCTTCATTATCTCCATTACTTTTGAGTCGGGAAAAATCTGATCATGTGTATTAAGCAGAAAATAAATGACGAATAAATGCTGGGTTATAAACTTTCCTCTTAGCTATCAAAAGAAATTGTCTTTATAAATGCATCAATTCTGAGAACCTCCTCTGCCATTTTCCTTTGGATAACCAAGTTCAGGCTTGCCACTTGTATCTGATAGCTCTCCTGAAGAACCACTTATTAGAAGTCCTTGAAATTCCCCGAAACCAACAAACGGAAACTAAAAAAAAAAAAATCCAAAAAACAAAAAAACCCCAAAACCCAAATAACTGTTATTAGCCAGATGGTTTATTCCCAAGTGTAATCTCTTCCCATCCTTTAAATATAAATCATAGAGTGCTAAGGTCTATAATCCATTAACTACACAAATGTATGGTTTCAGGTGCTAAACCAAAAGTAATTCTTAAGTCTAGGAAAAAGATATCCCTGCCTGACACATTTAGATCAGGAATGGCCTTTTTAATAACTTGACTTCTGTTTTTAAAAAACACTATAAAATATATAATAATTTATGCTTCTCTCACAGCCCAGCAAAACACTAATCTAATATTAAAGTTGTTATAATGTAGAAAATAGTAGGCTGATTTTAAAATTCAAATTTGCCAATAAAATACGGGTTACAAGCAGATTTTCTGAAGTGGAATAAACAGACCAGCTCTTCAATGTCAAATACCCTGACACTACCACTGGCCCCCGCCATGGCTCCGTGTGATCGAAGGCTCAGTGCTTGTCCTCTGCCCTGTTGCTTTCACTCTCCCTACGTCTTTCTAAGATTTTTTTTTTCTGGTACCGGGAATCGAACTCACGACCTTGCGCTTGCCAGGTAGGCGCTGTGCCGCTGAGCTAAATCCCCAGCCCCTCTAAGATGATTTCATTCACCACTAACACTCTGAATGCTCACTCCATCTGCTGCTCATTCCTCAATTTACTGCCTCAGCTCTGGCTTCTGAACACCAGACCAGACCCTCGTCTGCCACTGCCTGTTGACCTCGCTCTCCATTTGCGTATGTCTAAGGAACATCTTACAAACAGAATGTATGTTAAGGCAGAATGCTGAACACCATTCTCTAGTGCTCTATACATGTTACTTTCTGTCCCTCCTCAGTGAGGGGCTCAATATCCATCAGTTGCTCAGGCTGGAAACCTAGTCATGATTGTCACTGATTCCGTCCTTTCCCTGGTCCTCTCCCTACATGACATGCATAAAGAAGTCTTTTCACAAAATACATGTGTAATCTGATAAACCATCCTCACTGTGCCCCTCAGGTTAAGTCACCAAAACTTTACAGCCGTATTTCTGCAGTGGGCTCATTTAAATAGTTTCTTTGTTCTGTTCTTGCCTCCTAATCATGCCACAGAAGTCAGAATGGTCTTATTAAAAGTATAAATTGAACTACAGCATACGCTTACTTAAACTTCTAAAGTGATTACCCATCTTACTTAACATCTAAACTCCTTGCTCAGGCCCTGGAAAGGTCCTTTGGAACCTGGCCTCCATTTCTCCTCCACCTTGAGTCTACTGAACCTTCTCATCTTCCAGGCTTCCAGAAAGGCTGACTCATCTTCCCACTCTTCCCCATCATTTCAGTTAAACTGCGGCCATCTAAGAAAGGGGCTCCCCAAGTTCCCCGCCCCCCACGGAAGCAGTGGCTCTCTCTTCCAGCCCCTCTCACGTCCCTACTCTACCTGAAACTGTCTCATGAATGTGCTCCAGGGAGGCAGGGATTGTCTGCTAGGGTCACTTTGAGATTCCAACACTTAGAACAGTGTCTGGTACATTGCAGGGGCAGGCATCGGTTAAAGCCACAGCAGATGGGTTCCAGAACCCCCACAGATATCAAAATACTCAGTGTTTTAAGTTTCTTATATAACACGGTACAGTTGGAAGCATCTTCTCATATAACTAAATAGTCACTAGGTTGCTTAGAATATCTAATACAATGTAAATGTTATATAAATAGTTATTACACTGTTTTGTGTAGGGAATAAAGGCCAAAACTGCCAATGTGTACATGTTCAGTTCAGGTACAATTCTTTTCCCAAATATTTTAGGAAAGGACGTGCAAGAGATAATATGTACATGTTCAGTACAGATACATTTTTTTCCTAATATTTTTGATTTGCAGTTGGTTGAGTCCATAGATGTGGGGCCAAATGTACTGCACAAACTAAATGAATGAACGCTGTGCTCAAGCCAAATATCCGACATTAAGCTCAAGAACATTATTCAGCTTTGTATAGTTGCTTTTCTGATTACTATTTTTTCCAGGAAAGCACTCATTCTAAGAAAAAGGAAGCTTTCCAAATATACAACAGTTTAGTGATAAACAGTATTAAACCAAATTTCCTGATGAACATTAAATGTTTTTAAATTTAAGTACAATCTTTCAACTTTTACTGAGAGCTAAATCTTATGTTACTCTAAAAGCCTATTACTTTGATAAATTAACAAACACAGCATGCTGAAAACTATAAATAACAAATCAGCAAATATCTCTGTCAGCATACGCAAGGCAGGACTTATCATTTAGGTACACTGTTTGCCAACTAGTCTGTATTGGGTAGAATTGCCATCACTCTTCGGTCTTTTGGCTAAGATCAGGTGTGGATAGAATTACAAATGTCTGAATGATTTGTGTATTTTTGCTCCTCTTGGTTTTCTCCCTTTCATGCCCGATTTGGTCAGTTTCACTGGAGCCCAAGTCATTGGATGTTAGCTGTTAGATGTGTGTAAGGCAACGTTGTGATTTAGGTCAAAATTCTGAACATGCCTTTATTATCTTCCTTGAGAGGATTAAGTGAGATTGTGAATGTGAAATGCCAAGAACAGGGCCTGGCTCTTAGTACACGCATAATAGATGTTATTAGTGCTTGTACGTGTATTTGCACTAGGCCAGTGGTTTTTAGCCCATATTACACATTAGAATTACTCAAGAGCTTTACACGGTATTGATCCCCAGGCTCCATTTGCAGATTCTTGGACTTAGTTGGTCTGGGTTGGAGTTCCAGCACTGGTATTTTTTTTTTTTTTTTTTGGTACCGGGAATCAAACTCATGACCTCACACATGCCAGGCAGGCACTGTGCTGTTGAGTTATATACCCAGCCCCAAGCACTGGCATTTTTACAAAAGCTCTCTGGGGTATTCTAATATGTAGCCGGGATGAGACTACACTTTAGATTCTACCAAGTGACCAATGCTTTAATGACTTTTACATGTCACTTGCTCAGGGTCAAGAATATGTACATTTTTAGATATGTATATCTACACACAGATACATGATCATGAAGCTACCGCCATCTCTGTCATCACCTTGGCCTCTCTATCTCCAAACCAGAAGGTAATTCACAACATTTCTAGAGGTGCAGTTACCAAATATTTCATGGTGAAAACTGAACACACACCCCCCCATCCCCATTTTTTCTGTCATCCTTTTTCTTTTGGTCTCTTAAAACTGCTACATGACATATGGATTTAAACTGCTTCAAAAAGGTGTTCAATGGATTTAATAAAAATCCTTGCTACTGACCAAAGTGTCTAAGAGATCTGCAAATCCTGAATTGGATTTTATAACATTCTATATTATGCTTTAATATAAGAAATAATGAGAATTAGACTGTTAAAATATCATCCTTTAAATAACAGATGAATATTTGTAGGTGTTTTTCAAATAATGAAATTTAAGAATAATTTTAGAAATGTTACTGTTCTAGGGAAAAAAAGGGAAAGAAAAAAGAAAACAGACGGACCACTATGGTGTATCTGAATGCTGACATTTCTGACCTGAGTTGGTATGAAAAAGTACACTAAATTACACTCTGACACACTGTTGACTTTAATGAAAGCAATGGCCTACTGGTATGTGTAAGCTTATGACTGTAAGGTAACTTCTCACAGCTAATACTTTGCACATTCATACCCTATAATGCAGCAAATGACTGATCCTGGTACAAGAGGCAGGAAAAAGGCACAGTAGTAAGGGCAGTGAGGAGTATGAATGGAGGAGACATTCCAGACCACTTAGTAGACAAAATATTGTGGCTTATACCAACCCGAGACCAATAAAATACATCACACAACTTTATATAAGCCAATGAAAAGTAAAGCAATAGATTAGGTGATTTAAGACTAAAAGCAGACAACAAAAACTTCTTGCTTACTTTTTAGTGGAATTTTAGGGCAAAATTTGACTGAAACAAAGATAACGCCCACCTTGTAACTAGTTTTTAACTAAATGTATAAAAAGGTGATTTAATTTAATCATCAAGAGTTCTTTTCATATACCATTGACCAAAATGACCCCGAAATGTCTCTGTCTCAATAATAATAACGACAACGAGAATCCTTGCTCAGTGAACTTCTCAACAAGAGTAAGCAGAAGAGGCCCTCACCTGTTGCAGGATTGCTCCCAGGGAGTTCTTGTCTTTCTGATTGACACCGTCTTTCTGCAGTCGGGCCAGCAGCTCGGGTTTCTTGTAGGCCTTGAGAGCCAGTAAGTGAATCACTCTGTCCCTATAAGGCCGCTGGGAAACACTGCTGCCTCCATGTGTCTTTCGAATTGTATTTGCAGGGTTCATGGGAGTGGACCTTTTCCTCTCAGGCACTGCATCTGAGACAGCTTGAGGTGCTTTCCGAATCTGCACTCTCTTCCCTAAAGTCCGGTGGAAATGACACAGTTATACATCTGAAGGTTAGAAAAGCCTCTCAATTTCCCCAACTCTGGTTTAGGTACCTCTTTAGTTCTGGAGGAATAAAGACCACTTTATTTCAATGTTTTTTCTTTAAAGAGACATACAGACAAAGCATTCTAAACAGATGGCCTAAAATATGAATTAGGAATTTCTGATGGACTCATTTCTTGGAATAAATAGGTATTATAGATGGATTTTGGCCACTTGACTATGCATGGATAGTAATTAGTGACGCAAAGTGTAATAGACTAGAAACTTTTAGACTGTAGGTTATTTGATGTTAAATGGAAATAAGGTAATTTCCATGCTCACCTGTGCTATTTACAGAACTTAAATCTGCATACTATATGGCATTTCTGAAAAGCAGACATAAATACAGTGAACATGGTGAAATGTGAGAACCTCCTCAGACCTCACTCCTGGCAAACCCAGGGTTTTATTTTAATAATTTCAGATTCACAAGCTGCAAGGAGGGAAATCAACGTCCACTAATTAGTATTATTCCTTTTCCTTGACTCCTGAAGCAAATTTCAGGAGCCAAGAAACAAAACCAATCAACCAAACAACCAACCAACCAACCAGCCAACAAACAAAACAATCTCAGAGGGCCAAACAGATCTCTCCTCTGTGGAACCAGACTGCACAGACGAGTTAGAGGAATGGAAAATGGTACAAAGGAGGTCTTTACACCATCTACGCATGGGCTGGTACCATTCATGAAGGTGATTCATTTTCTGCTTGGACTGAACGCTGAGACTTGGCTACTTCTGGAGAATGTGAGCTGAAGTGACCTGGTTACAGTCTGTGTGTGCGCACGTGTGTGTGTGTGTGTGTGTGTGTGTGTTTTTGTGTGTGTGAAGCTGGTCCCTGAACCCCAGTACCAATCCCTGCTGAAGGAAGAAAAACGAACATGTAATTTTTAACACCCTCATTTTATGATTTCTGGTTAGAATCTTTTAGCTCACTTAGTAAACAAGAAGCCCAGCTTCATGTGGTTAAAGTGGGAGAATAATTGGTAGTGACATGTGACATGGGGTGATTACTTTAAGAACAGGACTAGCAACTAGGAACAATAGGTATCTAAAAGCAACTTCCATGAACTATGAATCAGCTTACCAGGGCAGAGCTTTCCTGAACACTGTGTCCAGGCGGGGTTCTCCGGCCCTAGCCTATTTGATTTTTTTGGGACATCACCCTGCCTCGAGAAAAAGGATGAATATTCTTAAGAAATTTCTACTGGCTGGTTTGTTTCCTTACTAATATTTATTACTTCCTTACTAATACTTACACATAACTGATCACAGGGATCAGATTGAGCCACTGTACAGAAAAGGAACTCACCACTAAGTGGACACTGTCTCATGAGAAGCAAAAGTAGTCAGTTAAATTACTTAGTTTTAAAGAGACCGATCTGGTTTCTGTATTCGTCGTAATTTAGAGATAGCCAGATCAGTGGCGGGTGGGAAGGGAACCACTATGCGGGGAGGCACTGTGCTGAGAGCATCACACGCAGTATGTCGCTAAGACTCACGGTCATGGGAACAGGTGAACAGCGTCCCCAGCGCAGTGAGCAGTCCGAGGCTTCCTGTGGGCCCTGTGCAGACGGTGCAGGGCAAATGGGAGGTTCTGGGATTAAGAGACCCAGCCCCGCTCACTTGTACTTCTCTGTGGGAAAGATGCTGTGACCAAATTCCTGATGTTCTGCTCTTGCTTCGTGTGAGACTGTAAGCTCTCTAAGGACAGGGCTGTGGCTACTTTCTCCACCAGCTGAATCTGCACTATGTGATGACTAAGTGAATGACAGCACGACAGCAAATAAGCAGATTCTTTCCACACTGTCAGGATGCAGAAGCCAGAGGACACATTGGAATCCTCAAAGTGATTATTTTTTCCTTTTTTGTGATGCTGGTTATTGAACCCTGGACCTCCAAGATATATTCCCAGCCCAACCTTTCTTTTTTCCTCTTTTCTCTTTCACTCCCAGTCCTTTAAAAAATATATTTTGAGATACAGTCAGTTTCTAAGTTGCCAGGTTGGCCTCAAATTTAGGATTCTTGCCTCAGCCTCCCCAGCAGATGGGATTATAGGCGTGCACCAACGTAACCAGTTTCAAGTGAAAATTCAAAAGCAAAACTTTGAACCTACCATTTCTCGGTTGTCAGTGTTAAGATTTTGATACTTTGAAAATTTAATAGAAATTTATGGAAAAAAAACAGGGTCATGGTCATAAAAAGTTAGGAAATGCCATAAATTCCACATTTGCCCAGTCTTGCAAAAAAGAAAAAAACTGTTTAACTCACCCTTTTCCAGACCAAGCCGACTGGTCATTTAGAATGAGTCCGAGCCAGCAAAGCAAACACAAATAAAAACGGAAAGGGACAGAACGGTTGTCCTCCCTCCTGTGTGCCTGTCTACCGCTGCTCCTGGGTCTCAGAAGGGCTCTGTGGTCTGCAGTGTACCATCCTCCTAACCATCCCAAGGAGCAACCAGAGATTAAAAGGAAGGGGGATGGCTAACTTTTCCCTTAGGAGGGCAATGCATGTTTTCGATTAAAAAAATGAGTCTGCCCTGGGAGAGGACAGAGTTGGAGTCTCACCTGAAGCCTAGAGCTAGGCTGTTGCCTCCCTCTGACTCCTCCCCCTCGGTGTACTCACTTCACCTCTTTCCTCATTTTCCTCTGAGACAGCCAGTTATGGGGTAATCCATTTCTTTCAGATGCTTCATAGAACAATCCAACCCCGGGAGCTGCTGAATTATACTCCGCTTTTTCTGGTACCGGGAATTGAACTCAGGACCTTGCGCTTGCCAGGCAGGCACTGTGCCACTGAGCTATCTCCGGAATTATACTCAGAGATTGCCTGTTCACTGATTCCTCACCCACTTTGTCCCTTTCAACCATGGAGGCCTTGGCTTTAAGGAAAGGCAAGCTACTGATGAAGAAAACACTAGCGATGTAAATACTTACAGAACAGAGACGCCGAAGATAGGAAAAGGCAAAGCAGGAAAATGTCAGGTTCGAAGTACGCAGCATGGCTTTATCTTTATTTTTAATATTTGTCTCAGAAAAGCCCTTTTAATAAAGCCTATGGGAAAACCTAATTCTCTTCCCAGACTCAACTGCTAATCAATTCCCTGGGCGCCTGCATAAGCAGCACAGTGGAACCAACAGGACGGGGTAGTCTGGGACTGCGTCGGCGTCCCTGTTTCATAACAAGGAGTCTACTCCCAGCTCCTCCTTTAACACGAGACAGCAAAGCACTTGTCCCTTAGTCTAGTGGCTCTGAGTAAACAATCTGAGAGGCAGATGCTGGAGCAGCTCGTCAGAAAGGCAGGGAGACTACAGACATCTTACGCAGTTCTTCTGTTCCGTAGAACCTGACAGGAAGCCCCGACAACACAAACCCAAGGCTTTCTCTTTTCTGTCTTTTTGAGACAGGGTCTCGCTATGCAGTTCAGGCTGGTTTTGAGCTCACTTTGTAGCTCAGGCTGGCCTCGAACTCACAACGATCCTCCTGCCTCAGCTTCCTGAGTGCTGGGAATACAAGTGTGCGCCACCATGCCTCGCAAACCCATGGCTTTCTATTAGTTTCTCTTTAGTTTATTGAAAAGAAAGTTTTGTGCTAATATGTTTGTTTCTTCTTTGTAAGAGAGGATCTTTCCTGTGTCTGTTTTTTACTCTGAGTAACTACTTTGAGAAAAATGATACACAGTATGTTAATTATTGCTATTCTATTATTATGAAATTCTATTTTTTTCATAAAATAAAAAATAAAGCAGGTTAGTTGTATTTACGAAAAAACAAGACACATCAGCAGGGTCATGACAATGATGTGGTCTCTATCATGACTGAACACATAAACCGCTGCAAAGGAACCCCTCTCTACCATTTGGCATTTGTGATCACCTTTCAGAAGGTTTACCATCAATATACATATACCTAAAAGACACGAAGTGTTAAACTACAGAGGACTTTAGATATCTACTTCCAATCTTCCTCCTTTACTACTGGAAAAAATTAAGATGGTAAATGACCTGTTCAGTCACTGAAATATGTGCTAACCCATCAAAAATAAGGAGACCAGGGCAGAAGCTAGGAAAACTGGAAACAGAATCCTACATATTAGGTTGTTTGGGTTATTTTATGCACCTAGACAGATTTCAATAAAAATAAGGATTTGCAATGCAGTAAAATTCCATAATCTAGGTAGGAGCCAATGAGTAGTCTCAACGCTGGGAAACTAGGAAAAGTGATGATGAGTGCTTTCTTTCTTAAACAAAGAGGAACTATAACAGTTTGGTAATGCTCACCACTGATGTAAGTGTCACAACCAGTGGTGGAAACATTACTGAAGAAATAAGAGTAATAATTTCTAAGTAGTTCTGCCTAGATGAGAGGTTTAGCTTTTCCCAAGCCCCTGTTCCCTTCAACCTCTAGGCCCCCAGGAAAATTGTCATCCCTTAAGCTGGGCCGGTGCCGTAGCCCAGTTGCCAGAGGCTGGCCTGGCACCAGGCCACCACCACAGCACACTGGGACCAGCATCAGTCGCCTCTGCCTTCACCCAGGTGAGACTGTTGAAAGAAGCCTTGTTCAGCAGGTGCCCAGGCTGGCACAGGTGAGATTTGGTGTCACTGTCTATGGTACAGTCAATTACGAACAAAAGGTTTATCTCCTGCTATTTCAGGAAAAGAACACAACTTGTTCCTGAGGCCAGGCCCACACCACTCGCTATTTTGCTGAGTTCAACAACTTGATATCTGAAATGGAGACATGTTCATAACCTACCTTACAGAGTGGATTCAGATGAGTATATGTGAAGTGCTAAAGAATGCCTTGTGTACAAGGACTCAGAAAGTGCTAGAAAACAGTATTAAGGGGTGATTGGCTAACATTTTAAAGAACTGAATGAACCAGACAGCTCTGAGATATTGAAAAAAGCAAGAAGATACAAATAATCTGGCTAGCAGGAAAGAAATATGTGGTAAAAGTCTGGTAGTGGGTAAGGTTAAGAGAAAAAGATCAAATCAAACACGACATAACAAAGTACAGTGAAAAATCAGAACTACAGAAATTCCAATCAGGATACCAGTCTTTAGAACTGATCAGACTTTTACTGAGAGTTAGGATGTCCAGATTAAATGGAGGTGAAGAATTGGAGGCAGTCCAGAAATGAATAATAAAAATAATGAAAGGGTTGGGACACAGGCCATATTAAGAAAAGTTAAAAGGAGCTGGACTTACGGGCCCCAGAGAATAAAAAGCTGAAGAGGTTAATGACAAGACTGAAGCCCAGAGAAGAGCAATGCTGTGACAGTGAGTGATCAAGTTAGGGAGGACAAGACAGAGGAAGAGGCTGACTAGGACAACAGGGCCGGCAAGTATCACTGCAGGGCTTGTGGGGGAGGCGGGGAGAGTCCTTAGAAGGGTGGAGATGGAATCTGGTTCACATTTAAACTTTGAAAACCTCAAGTTTCCTGTGGCCACTCTCAAAATTCATATATTTATATATTAGGTCTATAAGATACCTTGCAAGTTCCTGAGTTCTCAAACCACTAGAAAGTGTACAGTGTGTGGAATTTTAGGTACTGACAAGTTTGTGGAACTGCATCTAACCCTAACAAAACAAACAAAAATATATCAAAATAGGAGATATTCATGGACCATTTGATGAAAAAACGCTGACTCAGTAATGTGGTGATTTTTTTTTTTTTTTTTTTTCAAGCTTTGGAATCAAGCTGAGTTTTCAGCTAGTTATATTGGAAGGGAAAAAAAAATCACTTTGATAGTTTAAGTTTTCTAGTCCTTTGTCACACATATCAAACTGCTCCACTGTTTCTAAAATGGTGGTATGGAACCAATTACAACAACACTTACTAACAGGGACAGATAATTTATAGTTTGCACCTGATATAAGTGTGGCAGATCTTAGGTATTTTAAAAATAATTTAAGATTTAGCCTACTAGCACAGAATGCTAATTAAGTTACTTATGAGAGGAAAACAGAAAGAAAGGAGGTTGGACATGAAAACGTGAAAAATCTCCTTGCTGGTAACTTACTAGGCAGGGAACTGGGCCCCCTGGGGTCACAACACCTGGGGAAGCCAGGAGCTGTTGTTAAACTAAACTTAATGTATCTAAGCTAAGCATCAAGTCCCAAGAGCCCTGGCTTTGTTCCAAAGAAATACTTCTTAAAGGTACTCTGAGTTTCTCAAAGCTGAATGTGTGGTAGTTGGATTGGCAATGGGAAAATACAGATGAAGAATTATACTAAACCTGAAAAGATGTTGATTAAGGGATCTGGTTCTTCAAGAGACTTTTTGTAAGCATTTAAATTTCCAAATTACTATCCTTTCATCCTTTACTATAGTGACTTGGCTATGAAACCAACCAGGGCCTCCAAGAGCTCATCCTTTTTTCATCATTCTATTCCTGTTAAGAGTCACTATGAACTGACTCCCATAGGTGTTCAGGGCACTGCTCATAAAGGGGACTCACCTGGCTGGTCTGGTCTTCCTGCCCTTCAATCTGATGCATATTTGAGTGAGCTGATGGTAATGATGATGAGAGTGGGGAAGGCTCTTAATTAATGGATACATGAGGATGAGGATCATAACTGTGGTACCAAAGAGTCATCACCCTAATGCTTTACTGTAAATGCTTTGCCATAAGCACATTGTACATTTTTGCAATAAAAACTCCTTGCTTGTGTGTAAAGAGCCTCTGAAAAAAAAGCTGCACTATAAAATCCGCAAATAATGAGGCTATCATCTCAGAAATTCAACTCATAGATTTTACTGTAAAAACAGCTCTATGAAAGTGTAAAACAAGAACTATACTGTCCATCAAGGAAACTTCATCATCCACTGACACACAAAACACAACAGTAGCACTGTCCTAACCTTAAGGACTTAGGAGTAATGTGAACAGATTCCAGTACTGTAAAATAGTAATAAACGGACAACAGAGGAGTCAAGATTTAGAGAGGTCATAAAACTTTCAGCTCTGTTCTTCAGTTTACCAGCACTTTGAAGAGAATAAATGACTTTTTGGGCGACCATGTTATGTTATGCAAAATGTTCTGAAAACTAATTTTTTAAAATAAATTTAACATTACCAGTATTTACCTACAGTGCACTTGAATTACTCCCATCAATCAACGAGAGGAAGAAAGACATCTATACACACCTACATATGGTCCACCGGGTTTGATAACTTTTGTGCTTCGGTTGCGGGATTCCTCCTCTGCCTGGGTCATTCTTTCTCGTGTCATCTGATACGAGTCATTTGTTGCACACACTGTAATTTTATCTTGTATAAATCCCAGGCAATTGAGCTGTGAGGCTCCAGAGCTGTCAAGTAAGACAGTGGCTTTGTTAGAGATGACCCTTATTTTGTTCAATAAAGGCAAGCAAGAATTGTATTACCCTAAAATCAGAAGCCCAGGTAAATTTGTGATCCTAAATTAATGACTACTTTTAAATGTAAAGATTATCTAGAACATTTTAGTTCCTTATTCATTGCATACCACATTTTTCATATTTTGAGTATAATAGGTAAAATGAGCTCACAAGGGACCAAATCCATGAATTTTTAAAAACAATCAGTAGAGTGAAAACGAGAGTTCCAGTGGACACTGTAGTTCCACTTTCATTTAACAGTGAAATATTTTTAAAATTGAAACACGATGATAAATGTTTGATAAATGTGTAGGAGTTTACTTTTAGTTGGCAGCAAAGTGCCTGGTGTAGAACTGACTGGATGAAACATACCAGAATTCTTTTTTTTTTAAATAAGGTGCTAGTTTTAAGGCTAAAATACTGACAAACATTAGAACATTATTGATCCAAGGTTCTCCTAAATTTGTAGAATTTATAGTTACCACTTTGTTAAATCTCTGCACAGAAAATATTGAAGAAAATATGGAACAAGTGATTCTTGCAGAAATTAAAAAATAAACTTAATGGAAATAATCATGAAGTTCAACATTGACTGTGAAGATGGCTTTGTTTCAAAGTAAGATCCTAATATTAGAAGAACCATAACTGGTGTTTTTAAAAGAAAATACTACAGCCTTCATACTAAGTAGAAACTTAAAGATAATAATATGCAACGTATTAACCATGTTACCCTCCTATTCTCTTGTTTTGAAATTTTGTTTTATTTTTTCATCTTTAAAATAGAAGAAATTAAACTAAGTGGAATATAAAAGTAGACTACGAGCCTGCAGCTTTGATACTTGATTTCCAAACTAAATTGGAAGTAACTTTGTTATGATCCTAAGAAATCAAGGTAACTAAAAAACTTCGTAATTTGTTAGTAGCAGTCTTTACAAAAAATCTGATTCTGCATCTCGTATTTATTTATTGGGCAGGACTATATGCTGGGCAATATGATAGGCAGTCTGAGACAAAGACTAGACATCCGTGGTCCTCTCTTCAAGGAGCTCTTTTTCTATTGGGTGATGAGGAGGAGCAAGATGGAATTTACACAGTGTAACAAATGCCAGGAAACAGGGACAGGGAGACTCCCCCAGCCCCCAGGAAGGTCCTTTACTTGGACTTCATAGAGAAATTAAGGCCCAAACTGATTAGAAAGATGACTGCACAAAGGGAAGGAAGGACAAAAGTGTTCCAGGAGGATAAACCAACCAGTGCAGGCCCAAGGTGAGTAAGGTTTTCAGTTTGGCCATAGAGAGCTGGAAAGGACAAGGAGAGAAGAGAATGAAGAAAAAGTAAGCAGTAGCTCCCCTAGGGGCTGAGGATCATGTCATGGATTTTAGACTTTATCCTAAGAGGAGAAGAGTCTGAAAGGAGAAAATGTTTCGTCTGTATCACAGGAAGACCAATGTGTATGGAGAACAGATGAGAAAGAGTGGGATGCAAGAGCAGAAGTTGGCAGCCCTGTGAGCGGAAGGGGCATGGGCAGGCAGGGAGAACGCAGATTCCAGAGAGGGCAGGAGAGCGGAGTTGTCAGGAGTTGATGTGCGTGGGGAGAGAGCAAAAGAAGTTAAAGATCAAGTCCGGGTGTGGATCTGCCATTTACTGAGACATGAAAAACACGGGTAAAGGACAGGGTTGGAAGGAAGGAATGGGGTCAGGGTTAGAGATGGTGACTTCTCCACTGCTGGTGGCAGTGTGGACTGTGAAACCACTGCAGAAATCAGTGTGGAGATTCCTCACAGAACTAGGCTTAGAGGTACAACTTAACCCAGCTATTCCCTTGTGGGTATTTTTCCAGAAGAACTGAAAAACATACTGCAGTGATGTATGTGCACCCATTTTTATAGCAGCACAATTTGTCATAGCTAAATCTTGGAAACAACCGAAATGTTCATCAACTGAGGAATGGATAAGAAAGATGAGGTATTTTTATACAATGGAGTATTATGCAAAGCCATGCTAATCTTCTCTGTATTGTTCCAATTTTAGTATATGTGCTGCCGAAGAGAGAACAATAATGGAGTACTACTCAGCTATAAAAAAGATAAACTTGAGGCTTTTATATATAAATGGGTGCAGCTAGAGACCACACTCATAAGTGAAATATATTGGACCCACATGTGTAAACATTGTATTATCTCCCTAGTGTAAGAAGCTGAAAGAATAACTAAAACTCAAAAGGCACAATTGGTATTGTGAAAGGGAAAGAAACTGCTCAAAGGGAAGGAACAGCTGGGATGAGGGAAAGGAGAAAAGAAAGAAGGAAGGGAAAAATGTATATGGATAGCTGGGATAACTGTACTGCTGCTGTCTACTGGTTTACTGAAAGGAACAGGTTTAATGCTTAAATTTTTTTCCTTGATAAGTTTTGTATGCTTATATCTGGTGACCTGAACAACTATTTGAGATCAACAACACGCAACATAACAACCTTTTTTGAATTCCCACCATCCTGTTTAGTGAAGCGCTGTATGATTTCTAATGTTTTATATTATTGGTTATTATCTTTAATTGCTTGATCAATCTTGCATTCTTACATGTGGTAATCTGAGGAACTTCGCTAAAGATAACAATATGTAATATAACCACTGTTAATTCCTATCATCCTGTTTTGAAATCCTGCATCATTTTTATTGTTTTTGTGTTGTGTTGTTTTTTGGGGGAGGTACTGGGAATTGAACTCAGGACCTTGCACTTGCCAGGTATGCACTTATGTCACTGAGCTATATCCCCAGCCCTGTTTTAGTCTTTGTTATTGTTATTTTATTATTGTTCTTTTACTCTTTAAAGAAACTTTTAAAAAAAGATGGCAACTCTGAAGGAATGAGGAGCGATGTGGTCTCAGAAGAGAACCAACTGCGAAGAAATCAGTATTTAAACAATAGGAAGCAAAGAAGACTAGGAGACTGAAAAGACACAGCCCGGAGAGCAGAGAGGTCCCGTCAGGAACGCCACTGGAAGCCAGAGCTGTAAGCAGCAGCGTGGCCCACAGTGAGAAGCGGGCCGAGCGTTAGGGCCGAGGGGAACCTGCGAGCATGCACTGAGTTTAGGGGCAGTGGACGTAGTTCAGAGCCCTCCTGGGGAGCGATGTCAGCAGAACGGTGGGGCTTGAAGCCAGACTGTGGGCCAAGATATAAGTGCACAGGAGGAGGTTTTAGTTTTTCGATTCCTTTTCTAATGAGACAGACTTGAGCTTGTCTGAATGCTAAAAGAGAAATGGTGGAAGGGGACAGGAGGGAGGACAGAGTGCAAAGAAGGGGAGGAAATTACTGCAGCATGGTGAAGGTCTGGCCGCAGGAGGTTTGCATTTTAGCACCTCTCCCTGTTATTTACTAAGTAATTCATACAGGGAATATGCTGAACCTACTACCGATCATGAAGTTGCTGCTTATATCATTCGAGGTCGAGAAACAGCTCGTTACCTGAAAACAAAATAGTGCTAATCCCCGCAGGCCGAAAGCCTCTCTCCAAATTCTCAGGTCATCTCTTCTCCCGTGAGTTACCCTGAAAGTAACTCAGCGACTTGAAGGGTGTGGACATGTGTCTGCAAGTGTTCCTTCCGTCCTTCTCTGGCCTAACTCTCTGCACTCCTGTTTGCTGCATGCCATAACCATGTATTTTTACTAATCCTGTGATTAGGCAGATTTAGGATTTTTTTAAAGGTTATTTTGACAGTGAGATTTCCTCCATTTTACATATGAGAGAAATGAGGTTCAAAAGGTTTCAAAAGGGAGGTGAAGAGACTAGTTGAGCACTTATTCATTGGATATGCATTTACTGCACACTGAGTTTGGCTGGAACTAACAGACTAGAAAAAGAGCACCAGGAAGCCCCGACTCTGAGGAGTTTGTCACAGTGTAGGTGAGGCAAATCCCAGGAAAACTAAAAATTAAACTGAATAGAAAGGCTGGAGCCGGATTATGCAAAAGTTTGCTCGACAGACTGAGAAGGGAAGTTTGAGCACCTATGTTTACAAAGTGGCCAATTTATTTACTATCTATCCACACTACCTCATTTTATAAAGCACCCCGGGTCCTACTGAAGGGGCAGCAATGCATTTGCCTCAACTTTATCAAATACCTGGTTCTGCTTTCTTGCTGTGTTATGGATAGTTTTGTGAGTGACCTTAAATCTTTCTCATTTAAGTGACCTTAAATCTTTCTCAAGCAGGGTAGAAATAAATACACAGGGTATTAAACAGGGATAATACTTATGATATGACTGGATCTGATGAGGGGATTAAATTTAATCTGATGTCAAAATGTTCTACTATAATAAGATACCCAAAGACAAGCCATGCAGGTGATGGCCCCACAGTTAGACTGGTGTGCCCTGTGGGGTACAAAGAATACCGGCCTGGGAATCAGGAGAACTCCCTTTCTCTTTCCCAGTCACTAACTAACCAGCCATGTAACTGTGGACAACTCATCTGTTCAATGAAGGGATTCACTCTGCAAACAGCGAGGGCCTCATGCTTGGTGATTCTGCAATCTATTTCAGCGCTATCCAGCAGAACTTCGCTGGGAATGTCCTGTATCTGTGCTGTCTGCTCTGATAGCCTTATGTGGCTCTGAGATGGTAAAATGTGGTCAGTGTGAGTGAATAAACACTGGAACTTGAAGTTTTATCTAGTTTTTATCAACTCAAAAGTAAAGAGTCACATGTAGCCACTGGCTATAGGGAGTGAACTGTGAAGAAGTTTCTATAATCCATGGTATATTCAATTCGTAGGAAAAATGTCCGGAGGAACTAATTTATAGAAAGCAAAATTAACATGTACTCAGGGAAAATTACAGATTAAGTTAAAAAGAAACAAAAAGTACTTCGCCATCTTAATTGGAAGACAATCTGAGAACTGTTCCAGTGCTTTGCCTTTATTGTTATCTCTGCCTCCTTTTCTTGCCTGAGCCACAGCTTTCTTCCTTTCTCCCAGGGACAGCGTGGACTCACAGTGCCCAGGCCCACAGAGAGCCACAGCGGGGTGCCAGGCCTCGGCCCTTGGAGCCCATGTGAAGAACTTGTACCCTGAGGAAGGGAGAGCCCCCAACTTGCCCTGTCTCTATCCAGGAGCAGAACAAACTCCCCCTACTCAAGGGCCCATTCTTCAATCAGAAACAACAAAAGCAGAGCACAGGGAAACAAGTGGTTGATTGTTTTCAGAGGCTCTAAGTAGATAGGGTTCCATGGTACCCTTGGAGTGAGTATGTGTTCTTGTCTTCCGTTCTCCTTTTTATTTTTTTAAATCCGAAGAAATGACGGCTGTACAGCGATTAGTGTCTAGTTTCCATCCTGCTGTGAAAGGGAGTTTTAAAAATCTACCTTCCAAAAGCTGGGTGTGGTGGCACCCTCCTATAATCCCAGCACGCTGGAGGCTGAGGCAGGAGGATCATTGGGAATTTGATGCCAGCCTGGGCTACAAAGTGTGATCAGGACGTGCCTGAACTGCATACCTAGACCTTGTCAAAAAAAAAAAAAAAAAAAAAAAAAAAGAAAATCTACCTTCAAATAAGGCTTGAGCAGGGACACTGATGAAAGAGGGCAGGCTGTGTATGTTTTTCTCCCCCAAAGTAAGTTTGACTGTAAGCCTTAAGTACATTATAAGACCTTCATTTAAATGCAATGAGAAAAAGGTTTCAAAGAAACCTCTAAAACGATCCCCAGAATGACAACAAGAATTTCAAAAATTTCTTCAATTAAAACACTCCTTGCTGGGTGTGGTTGTGCCTGCCTGCAACCCCATTACTGGGAGGCTGAGGCAGGAGGACTGCCATGAGTTTGAACTGCATAGCAAAACCTCGTCTCAAAACAAAACAAAACAAAACCAAGCAAAAAAGAAACAACTTCTTATTTTATAAGCAACATAACTATTGCACTTAATACCCCCCATCCTAAAAGAACTTTGGAATATTTGTTCGTGTATCTCAGTAACAAATACAGTATCTAGTGTATAGTAGTTGATACTTAATATTTTTCAAATAAATTATCTCTACAGTTCAATTCTATAAATATTTACAAAATGACTAGTATCTATTTCATTTAAAAAAAAAAAAAAAGTTACAAAAAACTTTGGCTCTCAGCATACCTTGAAAAGTACTTACCTGGAGAATGTTTGCTGGATGCAGTCAAAGCTGCCCTGAGGGTTGTCTTTGCCCACATTTGACAAATAGAAGTTAAAGTTATGTACTTCGTTGAGGGGATCATTTTTGGGAATTTTGACAAGCTATAAGAGGGGGAAAGAGAGACACAGGTCAAATTACAAATTTGCCAGGGAAGAAGATCTTATGACAAACCGGTTTGACAAGTCAGTCATTTTATAACCTTGATATTTAAGTGACCAAATAAATCAAGGAATCTGACAAGCACACCTGGATGTTACATTTTTACTTCAGTTTTCTACCCTTCAGCGTCCCTAGGCACTTCTGCTCCGTAATTGCCCTATGAAAGGAACCCTCTTCATTTCAGATAAGCAAATGATTCCAGTACACACAAAAGGCTTATTAGTAAATTCGCTAAAAAAGTCTTCTTCCTTTGAGCCGCACAAGTTCTGTCTTTGGCTGATATAATTCCCTGCTGAATAGCTTCTGTGTTTAAATGTCTTTGAGATACAGGCACTATCCTAATCTTTTGTTCTCTCAATAAAAACACATTTTATCTCAGCTTCTGCTTCTCGGAGTAGTGTTTGTGAGGAAGAGTAACAACAGCATAAAGTTAATGTCCTAATTACACTCACAAGCAAAATTCAGCTGCGGTGTGTCAGCCTGCCCTAAGAGTCTGGATTCATCCTCCTGTTTACACAACAAGACCAGCAGGAGGATCTCACAGGCCAGCCCTGGGATGAGCCCCAGGCAAACTGCAACCTGTGGAAGTATGTTCTCCAGTCTTGCTCAAAGTCTAGTTTCCCTACTAGGTAAGAAGCCCCGGAGTGAAGGGTAGGTTTTCTCCAGGTGGCCAAGGCCGCGCAGCCCTGCATGTGGGATGAGCCCAGTAAGCCTGTGTCAGTTCTTCCCTGGAGTCTGCAGCTGCCGCCATGGTGTTAGGTGGTGAATATTTTCTCCTGCCCTCCTTGTCTATGAAATGACTAATACCGCGTTTGGGGGCTGGAGGTTGGAAACCATATTTTACAAATTTGCCAACAAACCCCTTTTTAATCATTGGCTCATGCTGCCAAAGACCCGTTCTTCTGTTTTTTCTGTCACTGGGAGATGAAAGGCAGAGCTAACTGGCCAGAATGCGTGTGAAACACTCACGAAGGTGCGAGCGGGCACAGACATGTGAGGCCCCTCTGCGACCTCCGCCCCATCCAGCTGCTGACTCATGAACCGTGAGCCGCGGGAGAGACCTGGAGCTGCCATCTCCACCCCCGAAGCTGAGAAGAATGTGAGGGCGATAATGTGCAGGATCTAGCACACAGAGACTTCTAGTGAACACCTGCTGAAGAAATGCACGAAGACAAGACAAGAAGTAAGCCAAGAAAAAGCGCCTTCTCAAAGGAGATTCAGAAGACCTGTGTGGAGCTTGGAAAGGTCAAGTGCACCAACGGTGCTGAGTATTAGAGAGTAATCGAGAGCCTCCACTAACCGTGAATTTAAATGGTCTTTGACTCCAGATCGCAGAATAGTACCAATTCCTAGAAAAGCAAGTCTCTACACAGATTACCTACCCTATAAATAGTATCTCTTGGGGGGTCCTTACAGTTACTCTTTAACTCCCTCAATTTCCTCCAGCTCTAAAGTGCTGTTACTTTGTGAACAAGTCTTAATTTACTTTGTCTGTAGGTACTCATCAGGCTGTCTTACTGGGCATACAACTCCATACCTAGTTGGCACACGCTGCAACTTCTTAATCCCACAGCAGTGGGGAGAACAGGAGGAAAAAGGAAGGTTTACGTCAAAGGCAGGGGAACACAGCGGCCATGTGTGTGCTAGTGTAACAGCATCACTGGTGTCTGCTTTGGTTTTCCCCCAATAGGATCAGGGTCCGGGTGACACAGAAGAAATATGCAGTACAGCCTAAAGCCTCCGTAAAACTTTTAATTTAATTACTAGAGTCCTTTAGCTCAGATGCCTACTAAAAGCACGATAGGTAGGAAAGCTCTTAAACTTCAGAGTAAGTATAATTTTTTGTTTTCTCAACCTCCAAACTACCCAATCTTCCCAACTTCTAAAGCAACATTTATACTTTTGAAGGTGAAAGAAGTATCTTCCCAACCATCATTTCATTTCATTTTTTAACAAACATACATGTGACTAGAGTCTTATCTAAATTCGGAGACTTCAATCACAGAACATCTTATATGGAGCAATCACCATGCACACTCAACCCATTAGGTGCTCTCCGGATGTCTGACATCGGAGCCTTTCATTTTCTCACGCCTTAAAAGTCTCTTGAATAGAAAAAACCTACAGTTATTTAAAAAAATACAGTAATGACCAGAATAGGAAAGAATGAGATTAGGACCAAAAAATTTTTAAGTATATGTAACCCATGTTATGTACCTACTGAAGTGTTTTAAAGCTTGTGATACACATAGACAGAAAAACAGTTCTCAACTAAGGCCGCTGCCCCCACACACCGAGCGACGTTCCGTCTGGGAGGGCGTTACTGGCGTCTGCTGGGAGGCTAGAGCCACCTCCTAACACCCTCAGTGCACAGCTGTCCTATCGATGAAGAGCTGCCCACTCTGATGTGCCGCAGTGGCCCAGGCTGAGAATGTCTCAATGCAAGAGACATAGGTCAGTGTCTAAGAAGGGAAATCAGGCTTTGGAGTTCCCTGACTTCTAAAAGTTAAAGAAATGGATGAAAAAAATGGTGTCTTTGAAGAAATAAAAGCACCCTTTTTATCTCAAATGGAAGGGGCCATTTTAACTTTATTTCAGATACTTAGTCCACGTCTGTGACTCCCAGTCAGAGGAGACTGAACAGCAGACACACTAAGTGCACACGAGCCATGATGGCCGTGACTCAGTTAATGTGACATGGCGGGCACGGTGGAGGGTCAGCGTGATTGGCTTTGGGCTCTGCCTGGGGGCTGGCAAAGCACACTTCTGGGAATAGCTCAATGGGGTGTAGGGGCGGGACTCTGGGTGCATATCTGGTCCCTGATCCCTTCCTCTACCCATGGCTCCCCTCTTCTGCTTCCCAGGCCCCATGAATTCAGCAGCTTTGCTCTGCTGAACTCTTCTGCCATACTGTTTCTGCCCTGGAGCCAGATGGCTACAGCTGAATGCCTCCAAGTCGTGAGCCAAACTAAACTCACCCTCCTGTACACTGCAGGTGTCAGGTCGTGTGTTTCAACCCTGAGAAAGCCCATACATGTGGCTCACTATACTTATTTGCTTTTTTCAGTTTCCTCTGATTGGAAACTATAAAACTTAAGGCATTCAGCTACAAGTTTCAAGTACATAATGAGTTGTTAAATACTGTATAAAGATATTCCCACTGACCTGTAGAAAAAGATTTATAAGTAAAATTGAGAAAATTCCTAATTCACCAAGGAGTGTTCTCCTAAGATTCTTTCTAAATCAGACCTCAGAATAGATTTTTTAGGGTACTATCCCAGTTCTTAAAAGCTGATCCTAGATGCATCAAAACCAGTACATTTTCACCCTCCCCTCTCTGTATTCCATAATTTAAAGTCCAGGTTTTTAAAAAAGGCTTCATAATCACACGGAAGAGAGGACTATCTAGATAAACCATGGAATAGACTCCCCTATACCACAGAAGCAATACATGAAATGGGTCTGGATTAGACAAGGTCTCAGACCCAAACGTTTCTTTAACAGTCCCAAAGGCTCTAGTCCACCTGACAATCGCCCTAGTTTAGCTACGAAGTCCCTCTCCCCAGCCTGTTCTAATGTCACATACAATTTGCTCTTTCTATTAAGCCTCCTGCTTTGCTGCCCCAAGGCCACAGCCTTATGCAGACTTATCAGCCATAAACACGAGCGCTACTTTGTGTACCTATTTTGTTCTTGAGGGTTTACTTTGACATGAATATAAGTAAGCTTTTTAGCTACTTTATACCTTAAGAATGCAATAATATTAAAAAGTATTAAAGATTATATGATTCCAATAGTTTTTTACTCAAAAAGAAGGATATAAAAATATATCACCATGTCTAGGCAACTGGTAGATTTTAATTTTCATTCCAAAAATGAGACTGAAAATCAACAGCTTAGGACCACAATCCACAACCCTCCTACCAAACTCCAGCCTGTCTTAGATAAAAAGCTACAAAGAAGAAGTTTCAAGAAACTTTCAGACATTTATAATTAACATAAACACTGTATACCAAGACGTGTAAGCCAAAGCTTCTAATTATTCTGAGATACGAGCTCAGGCATGTGGCAAGGGAAGACTGTCTGAAAGGTCATCTCAGCACCCGGTCACAGACCTGCTACTTACATAAGGATCTTGGGCAGAAGTGCAATATGCACATAGCTGCAACTTTCACACACATGTACGCTAATATCTGCTTAAAAGCAGCAGATACCTTTACTGCAGAGGTTGCCAACCCATAAGTCAAATATGCAATATTGGATTGAGTTACATACTAGATTACAAATATATTAATTACTAGATTAATAGATTACAAATAGGACAGTGTCTTTTTCCATTTATTTAACTGTACTGTTCTTTTACAGATATTACAAATGATTTAAATGGCAGAGGCTTCTTCGGCAGTAATTCTATGAACATTAATATCCAACCTTTTCTGCCAAGGAGACTAGAGGTGCTCACTGCGATACTTATGAACCAGCAGAACCATGGTTTGAGATGGTAATTCCAGGCTTTAAAGTAGATGGATAGAGGCAGGTGAGAGAAAATTATCTAGTTTAATTTCTTCATTTTATAAATTAGGAAAAAAGAGGCTCAGTGACTTGCTTAAGGTTATATGCACATTTAAAACTGCAACCCCCGGAGCTGGAGCATGGCTCAGTGGTAGAGCACTTGCCTAGCATGCACAAGGCCCTCTGTTTGATCCCTTGCACAGCGAACAAATAAAAACAAAATAAAATAAAATTGCAATCCCTATATTCCTGGCCCCTTTCTTTGCTCCATGGTTGTCTAAAACACTCACTGCCTTGTAATACTTGCATATTATGCTTATGGTTTTTCTTCCCCCACTAGAATATATATGCTCGGTAAAGACAGAGGCTTTTGTCTGTTGTGTTCCTCGAATATGTTGCTAGTATCTCCAATGATGCATGGCACAAAGTA